AACAAGAAAACCAAATTCTTTTCTAGCTTTCAGCATTTTAGGAGGTAATTCTTTAAAAATTTCAAGTCGTGAGCCCCCCACTTGTACAGAAGTGTGAAAAGATTTTTGCAGGATATCATTTCTAATTTCTCTCTCAGTAAAGTATATGACCACATCTCTAGGCAGTTGTCTTTGTCTGGCCACCCAAGAGTTCACTCTGTAAATTTTATCTATTTTATGAAATACCAAATCAGGATTAGCTTGTAAAATCTTAGCCAAGGCTTCAGAGCAAACCTGTCTCAAGTCCTGTCTCTCCTCCTCTCGAATTCCCCGAAGCCGTATGGCAAATTCCATCGCCCGGAATTGTATCATAACAATCTGATCTTCAATTCTCTGCATTTTATTGTCAACTTCATCAATTTTATAATCATTGTCTTTCATCTTAACATTAACTTCTGATTTGAATTCTTCAACTTTAAAATCAACTTTCCCAATAAATTCTGCCAGGCCAGACGCCACTTCTGATATTTTTTTGGTCACCTTATTTTGATTCTGTTTCACCATGTCTTTAACTTCATTAATTTCCTGCATAAATTCCTGATGTGATTTTTGAAGTTTATCATCTATCTCCTGTTGACATTTTTGAAATTTGTCATCCAGAGTTTTAGAAATAAATTCTTTTAAATCTCCCACATCAAATTCTTTTTTCTGAGTTTGTAGCTGTTGAGCAGGGGGAAGTTGCGTTTGATGTTTGTGTGTGGGGGATCCCCCCCCTAATGCCTTCCCTTCCTGCTTCTTTGAAGCCATCCTGGCTCGTGATCTAGTTTTTCTAAAGAGGGAAGTTCCTTTTCCTTTCCCTCCTGCACAAAGACTTCTAAAAAAGTCCCCCAGATTTGATCAAATAAGGGTTAAAATAAAGCAAAGTCCAATATTGAAAAGGGAAAAAATTTCCCAGTTGTTTCTCTTATAACAAGCAAGGCAGCTTAGTAGCAACTTGGAAACTTTATAACAAAACAAAGTAACTTCACCAATCCACACTCGCTGGCTCGTTAACTCTGAAGCTAGGCGCCATGTTTTTTCAAAGCACTTTCACTCACTCGCATTTTCTCAGATTGAAAAGTCAACAAAGTGCTAATACTTGCGTTTCCAAATTTCAGGATTCAGGTAGTTTCGCTGTTTATTAAAACTGGTTCTTTCGCTTTAAGTTTCCTGCAGCCGGCTTGTTCTGCAAAAGCAGAATCGTCCCACGTCGCCCGGAGTTCCAGCAGGTTGGGAGGGAGCCACGCCTGTTCTCTCCCCAGAAACTTCCCTGGGGGGTTACAGGGGCTCAACCTGTGCCCTGCGATCTCTCCTTCTTCAATCCTGTGGATTTAGAAGTTTTCGAACCGCTTCTTCGTTTCGAAGCGGCTCTACAGGCGGCGGGGCTGGCGGAGCTTCAAAGAGCGCCGCCGTCGCCGAAGACAAGGAAACCGGAAGTCCCTCAGTTGTTTCTTAAAGAAACAGATATATTGCCTGACCAACAAGTTAGGAGTAAGCTATAAGCTGAACCTAACAGTAGGTCTTATCTGGACAAAGTGGCTGAGGGCTTTTGATTGCCAAAATGAAGATTATGAATGCATTTAGTGAAACCAAAAGGTACTTTTTCAAGAGGCAACTGGACTTTCTGGTTTTTCTTTGAAGACGTTTCGCTTCTCATCCAAGAAGCTTTTTCAGTTTTGCTTCTCATCCAAGAAGCTGAAGAAGCTTCTTGGATGAGAAGTAAAACATCTTCAAAGAAAAACCAGAAAATCCAGTTGCCTCTTGATAAAGCACCTTTGGGACAACCATGACCTGGATGACTGAGAATCTCCATAGGCATTTAGTGTGACTTTCTGCTGCCAAAATCCACCCACAAAATTTTATTGGGTCATTGGCTGATTGGGTTAATAGAAATGTTTCTTTTAAAAATATGCGATCCATTCAATCACCTAATTGAAGTAATGCAACATGTTGAATCTGGAACAAAGAGCCTAGCAGTTGAAGACATGAATATATTCCAGATATCTTACTTCTTCCCTATAATATCTTCCTGTTCCACCTTCCTGACATTTATAAATTTAATAAAATAAAGTAAATAGGAAGGTGACATGTTGTAGACTAGCTTCTTCTATTTCAATAGCTATGTTTGTGCCACACAAATATCTCACTTAAGCAAGGTACCCAGAGGATGGAGACAAAGCAGACCATGGGATGCTTGAAGATCTAGCTATTTGTTTATGTATGTGACATGCACAGTGCTCATAATAAAAGGATCCAGTTTCAAATGAACTATTGTGGCCACCATCTTTTGACCATATCCTGTGGACTCCTTTATTTAAAAGGTCTAATTGAAGAAGGAGGTCACTAATTGGCCTTCCAGTTTATGGGTATTATGACTAGGCGGTCAGCCATCTTTTCTTTTGGATCTTCAGGGCTGCCACACTTAGTGCTGTGGGAAAGTGGGAGGAGGGTTGTATAGAGCTGGTAGAGTTATTTAGCCATAACAACATTCTTTTCTCTGAGAGTCAAGGATGCACCTGGAGTGGTGTGACTGGGAGGCATCTCCAGTTGGGACAGTGGATTGATTGGACCATGCGATGGACATGTGGGTGCAGGGGAAGAGACTTTGACTTTCTTTTGGGTGGGGAAAACCCAAGAGATTTCAGATTTGGGTTTTCCCAGATGTGCCAATATGACATCTCCAATAAAATGGATCTTTGAGGAACTGATTTCCTTGGAGTCTTACTTGGTTGGGGGAAGTGGTGAAATCCAATTTTTTTCCCCCTTACTGGTTCTGTGGGCATGGCTTGATGGGCGTGGTGTGGCTTGGTGGGCATGGGGGGGGGAAGGATACTGCAAAATTCCCATCCCACTCCATTCCTGAGGGGAAGGTTATTGCAAAATCTCCATTCCCACCCCACTCTGAGGCCAACCAGAGGTGGTATTTGCCAGTTCTCCGAACTACTCAAAATTTCTGCTACTGGTTCTCCAGAACCTGTCAGAACCTGCTGGATTTCACCCCTGGTTGGGGTGTTACTTGGAAGCCTGCCATAGGCAAGCCCTGATGGCATCTATTTTATAAGTGTATCTACCATGTATTCCAAATTCCCAAAGCACCCTGGGCCAAAAGATTTCTTATTCCTGAACTAAGCCAAAATGTGTTTAATTGTTACTTGCTTACATTTGACTGGCTATATAAAACCAAAGCTGTCTGTTAGCGTTATTACTTCTTAGAGGCTTTCCTAAAAGAATATAATTGGTGTCTTTTATAAATAGGATGCTGGCCTAGACTGAACACAGTTCTTACAGCATGAAATCTCTTTGCTGACATTCATCTCCTTAACTGATATCTTTGCATTTGGTTTTTAAAAATATCGGACAGTTTCCTTATTAGCCTCATCCTTGTTCACAGACATCAATGGCACAAATAGAATCTGCAGTAAAACGGGAAGCTTCAGAGTTTTCTTCTTGATACTGGAAGCATCCATTCAACCAGTTAAGCAAATAAAACACTACTCAAGGTGAATTCGGTGTTCAACTCCTGTATTGTAATTGCCATTGTTCATTGGCTGAAGGCTGACCTTATATAGTCAAAACAGAACCATCCATCAGTAAACCACATGAAAATTATAACTTGCTCAGGAAACATCCAGGGTTTTCTTTTTGTTAAGTGCAAATGAATAAATATAATAAATAAGAGATTTTTTTTAAAAAAAACAGTTCTTGGAAAATTTCACGTGCTCAGAAAATAGCTATTATTATTTTTATTTATTTACAAAATTTATTGAATGGAATTTATTTCATTCTCATTCTGATTTCACATTCTTGTTTTAATATTCTATAAGCTTCCTGCTGCCTGGTTGGTTTCAGGCGGTCAGATAAATGTCATAAATAAATAATTTAATAGATAAAATGGAATATTTTATAGAGAGTGGGGGAAAATGATGGAGAGCAATTCTGAGAAGAGAGCCCAACTGCCTGTCTGATTCCTTAAATTCAGTTTAATATAGCAGAGCTGCAAAATCCAGACAAGTACCAGATGTGCCAGTCAAGGAATTCCTCCCCTCTGGTGGCCAACCAGAGTTTTGCAGATGGTTCCATATCCTGCTAGAAGTCCCAAAGGTGCTTTTTCAGGAAGGATTTATACTCTTTGCAGATCCTTCCATTCCCCACCATCCAGTCAGAGCTGAAGAAGCTTCTTGGATGAGAAGCGAAACGTCTTCAAAGAAGAAGACAAGAAAGTCCAGTTGCCTCTTGAAAAAAAGCACCTTCAGGACAACCATGACCTGGATGACTGAGAATCTCTACAGATTTTTATCCTGCTAGAAGCAAGTCACGCTGCCCGTTTTAATAATGCCACTCTCATATGGACTATTACGTGTTATTTATACCAGAACTACTGAAAAAGACAGAAGCCAGTTTGTTTTGCTTTCGAAAATATAGTCTTCCATTTGCCGCATTTCAGCTCCAATCCAGGAGCCCTCAAGCAGTTGCATTCACGACAAACCATTTTTTATACCAAATTTATATTTCGCTGATAAAGAAATAAAGGGAGACTAGTATAGATCTATTTCAAGCTATCAAATCCAGGTAAGGGTATGGCTAGCTGATGAGAGCTAAATAGCTTGAAATAGATCTATACATACACACACACACACACATACATATATATACACACACACACACATACACACACACACATGCATAGACACACACACACACACAGAAATTCTATTCTATTCTATTCTATTCTATTCTATTCTATTCTATTCTATTCTATTCTATTCTATTCTATTCTATTCTATTCTAGTCTGTCTAGTCTAGTCTAGTCTAGTCTAGTCTATTCTGCGCGCGCACCATAAAACTGGATTACGGTATACAGCATTTTCTCTTCCCTTTTCAGCTTCTTGCCTGTTTCCTTCTCCTCCCGTCTTTAGGGGGCTCTGTGGAAGGTGAACGCCGGGAGTCAGGTGACGGTCTTGCACCACGCCAGGGCTGACTCTATGGTGCTGAGCTGTCCAGCACTTCAGGAGCCGTTCACTGGGGGAGGCTCCGAAAGAGAACGGCAGGGCGATTGTCGTGAAGCAAGATTGGCCGGCGAAGAAGCCGGGGACGGAGCCGAAGCCGGGGCAAGAATCCGAGGAAAAGCAGAAGGCAGAGAAAGGCTGAGATCCCGGGGAATCCAGAAGGGAGAAGAGGCTGGCAAGGAGAGAGGCGAGGCCAAACCCAGCTGCAGTGACTGGCACGGACACAAGATCACAAGGGCGCAGAATTCCCCAGCAAGGTATGATAAGACAGGAGGGGGTGGGGTGGGTGGAGGGGGACCCCCTTGCTTGCCTTGGCCCGAAGGGGAGGAAAGTGGGGGCCGTGGGGAGAGAGCTGGCGACCGCGAAGCCCTGCAGTTGCCTAAGGGAGAAGTACCAGTGGTGGTGGAGGAGGAGGTGTGTGTGTGTGTGTGTGGGGGGGGGGGTTTGCAGGAAAGCTTAGCAAGAGGTTTCTTTGGCTGCAGTCCCATCTGTTGTGTCTGTTTGATTGGGTTTGGTATTCTCTCTCTGCAAAGATCAGTGGAAAGAACGGGAGCCTCGTGAGTGGGGGTGGGTGGGATGGGGGTGGCGGAGAGAGCAGAAGGTGGATAGTGGTTATGCCTCTTGGGGGAAGGAGGCAGATGAGAGACTCTGCACCCCCTCAGAGTCTCCCCATGTGATTTGTTTTGTTCCGTAAAGGAAGAAGACAATAACCCAAAGGGCTTCATGGGGAAGCTCTTGAGACTTGGCTCGATTTCAAAAGAATGCACTCCTTCTCCAGTTGTCTGGTGGAGAAATTAAAAGCAAGGCATTGATCCCTGAGAGGATGGGGATGTTGACTTAGAGTAATTTGACAGCTCTCTTTTGGATGGGGAAGGGAGATTAGGAGATATACCTAGGTCTTCCCTGTGTGTGTGTGTGTGTGTGTGTGAGAGAGAGAGAGAGAGAGAGAGAGAGAGAGAGAGGGAGGGAGGGAGGGAGGGAGGGAGGGAGGGAGAGGGAGAGGGAGAGGGAACATAGTTATATGTTTTGGAAATTAATGTTCAGCAAGAGTGGAACATCCCTGGAATTGTACATCGTTCCATGTTATTTTCCTAAAGATCCAATGTCTTTATATGGTCACCCAAGTCCAGGAGCAAAACAATTAAAAGTGGTGGGTTTTTTTTTTGTTTTTTTGTGTTTTGGGGGGGTGGGTAGAGAGAGTTCTAATCTTTTCCTAGGAGAAGATGACCTGGAGGTTTCCTAAGGTTTTTTTTTTTCTTCCTCCACTGGGTTATAGGGTGGATCACATTTCTGCAAAGACAACAGAGGAGAGAGGGAAGATAAGAACCTTAGTCCATTTTAGGGCATTAAGTAGCTTTTTGGAATAATTCACCAAGGATAATTTAGAAACATTCCCGGGAGATTTGAAGGTGCAGTTTGGTAAATTGGCATAATTCCTGCATTCTGCTCTGACTGTTGTGGGAAGCGCCCTAAGGGGAATCCTCTGTATTTGCAGAGGGCACATTTTGGCACATGGAAAGTTGCACAGCAAAACGGAAGTTTTCTGTATCGGTTGCAAGAAAAGGCATAACAGGAACACCTAAGACCAGGCAAAGGTGAAAAGAAAGCATGAATTGTGCAAACAGTTCAGCCAATCAGTGTGTAAGACTTTGCATAAGTATGTGAACAGAACCATCTGCTTATATACAGAAATAGAGAGTAGCTTGTAAATGACGTAAGCTAAGTTAAGGAGATCCTTTGGGCTCAGCAGCATAAGATCTAAGCTTGAATCCGTGGAGCACCCTAGATTAAAATGGTATAGGTGGTATTTCATCGTGAAGTGGGAATTCAGCTATTGATTTCACATATTTGTTGTCAGTCTGGCCATAATGTTAAATCAGGATATGAATAAGCATGTTATGTGAACATAGACATTGCTTGTGAGATTTTACCTGTTTAGGATTTAACATGGGTGAACATGGCTGGTTATTTAATCTGGTAATCAGTCTCATCAGTTTGGGTTCATTCAATAAATTAAACCATAATCCAATGGACTAGGTTAATATAACCCACTGAACCACTGAGACAAACAAATCAACTCCTCCCCTTTACATGTTATACATATACAGCCACTAGATTTTTAAATTACCTGGTTAAGTGTCTTATGCAAACCCAACCATGATTCTGAAGTGCTGGGGACATAAAATAAAAGATAAATAAATAAAAATAAAATAAAAAATAAAAAATAAAAGAGGTACATGAATATCACACTCTCTGAGAGTTCTTTGGGTCAGCTCATTGCTTGGATAGTTGAAAATATTTATTTATTTATTTATTTTATTTATTTATTGTCATATTAATATCAAGCTGCCTCAGGAGGCAGACTATTTGCCCATCTCCAGGATGTCCCTACTCTTCCTTTCCTCAATCAGGTGCTCTCTCTGATTATGTAAGATTACCATTTGCATCATTCCTAGCTAACATAACTGGCAGAATGGCAGGTTTGTGAGAATTATAATCTTAACTATCTGGAGAACACCAGATAAGGAGTTTTTTTTTAAAATTGGAACCAGGGAAGGAGATCTGGATTCAAGTTCCTTCAACTCATGGAGTGACTGAGTTTCTCTCTCATAGCCCACATTGGTTCTAGGAATAAAAATTGGAAAATCCACAGATATGCCACCTTCAGCTCCCAGGGGAAAAGTGTGATATAATGAGAAGAATCATTGGCTTGCAAGACTTCTTTCTGTAGTTGTACTGAGCATGAATAAAGTATGTGCCACTGAGCTGGGCCCTTTTCCCAGCTGGGCAATTGTTTCATGTCCTGATAAATTTCATACATTAATCCTGGTAGCAACTACTAGGTGGGGGCAGAGAGACATTAGCTTTTTTTTTAAGGTCCTGGCAAAGACAGGATTTGAATCAGAAACGTACTGGCTCATCGTTTAATTGCGTCGCCACTTTTTGATGATGTATACATTATGTTGGAGAAGGAATATTGTATATTCCTTCAGCCACCCTAGGTCTTGTGGTCCTCTATAATTCAGGCTGAGCCAACAATAGTTACAACTGGATAATGATTTACCCATTTCTGCAAGGAATTTTTCATTGTGGCCACTGTGACAGCTGCTTTGAACTTTTGTAACATTTTAAGGGCATGGTGGCTCAGTCGCTAAGATGCTGAGCTTGTCGATCGAAAGGTTGGCAGTTCAGCGGTTCGAATTCCTAGTGCCGCATAACGGGGTGAGCTCCCATTACTTGTCCCAGCTTCTGCCAACCTAGCAGTTTGAAAGCATGTAAAAAATGCAAGTAGAAAAATAGGGACCACCTTTGGTGGGAAGGTAATAGCATTCCGTGCGCCTTTGGCATTCATGCCAGCCACATGACCACAGAAACGTCTTCGGACAGCGCTGGCTCTTCAGCTTTGAAACAGAGATGAGCACCGCCCCCTAGAGTCGGGAACGACTAGCACATATGTGTGAGGGGAATCTTTACCTTTACCTTTAACATTTTAACATGCAGAAAAATCCTTGAAAGGGAAGCCAGAGGCACACCCATTTTACAGATGAGAAAAGTGAGGTGGAGAGACTGATTGCACTGAGTGCACAGAAATGTTTTAATGTGATGGCTGCTGAATGTGTCTACTTCATACAATACATGGTATTGTATTCTGCAGAGCGGTGCAATACATTGCACCATAAACTAATCAAAGGGTGTGAGTTCGCAGAGCACATTAAGCCATAAAAAGCTAGCAAAACATAGCTCATTGTACATATCATGATACTTGGTCTCTACTTTACTTGGTTAAGCATGTTGTCTGAATGCAATTATCGAGAAGGAAGTCTTATGTACAGTATTAGCCTCTTGAAGCAGGTGAGTGTTATATCTTTGTTTCCTTTGCAGGATACAACTTGGCTCCCTCACCTCTTCCTATTATGTTATATTATATTTTTGGCTGCAAACAGTTGGATGATAGAGTTCTTGGCTCTGTTTTCAGTTCACAGTGAGGATGTGTTGAACTGTTGTTGATGATCCATACGACAGCGATTAAAATCATGGTTGTATTTCATTCTCTCCCCATAGTCTTAAACTGATCTGCATGGGTTTTGCCAATTTATCTTCAAGTAGGTTGAGAGAGTAGGTCAATGAGTTTCGTGGAGCCTGAAGGGATAATTTGAAATTGGGTGTCCCTTGGTCCATTGGACCATTATAAAATTAACCCATAGATATAGCCTTCTCCTTGCTGGCAGCTTCTTAGATGCATTGGTCTACAACTCTCATTACAACAGGTTCAGTTGGCATCAGCTGGAAAGAAGCTCTCATTCACAGTACCTTCTCACCAAGATAGTGTTTTCTTAACAAGTTCTCGATTTCCTGTAATATTGCTTAGAGCTCACAATTTGTGAAATCTCAGTTCCGGTCCCTCCATGCCTGTTTTGCTTTTGCTCCCCCCCTCCTTTTAAAAATCTAATTAGATAAATTACTGAATGTCACTGCTGAGAAAGTTAATGACTGTCCATTTCCTTGTCACCGGAGGCAACCGAGGCAAAACATGCATTTCTTGTCTGGGGACAGCTTTCTTTTGGACTGTTTGTCTGGCACCCACATTTTGTCTTTTCAGTGACAGACAAGCCCTTTAAAAAAAAAAAAATCTCCTGGACCTTTAAGAGCCGCATCCTTTTGAAAGATTAATGGGGAGGTTTAAAGATCTAATGTATAATTTAGCGCTTGCATCCACACACTTAACTTGGTCACTGAATTGACCCATTTTCTGAGTCTCAATAATACATAGACTCATAAACTTCACCAAACACACTGAAACCAAACATGATTTGCCTGCACAAAAGAAGCCAAGGTTTAAACGAACCAAGTTTATCCTATTGTAGAAAGACCAGGCATTAGGTCTTTCGCTGAACTGATTAACTACGGGCAAACCCAGTTTTGACTTGCAAAGACTTTGTTGCTGATGACATTTGCACTATTTTTAGTTCCGAGATGGTTTTAGTTCTTGTTACATTTCAAAGCACTTGCCAGAGTGTAAGAATGTAATCATTCTTGTGCTAGTTTTAGGGTTGTTTAGGATCTTAATTTGATATTTAATTATACAAAACTAATTGTTTTGTTTTACCTTGCCTAAAGAACTTGTTTTAAGAGACAGCTGATAAATAGACAGCAACAATAGGAATGATAATAATACATTCCTAACTATGTGGGGAAGAATCAGGCTAAGATCAAAAGTATATCGCTTGTAGGAACTGGGATTTTCAAAAAACAAAGC